CCAGACTCATTTAAGGTCATTTATTATTGGATGTGTCTTTTAATTTGTAACACAATCTGTAGTACATACCAGTAGACATTGAGTTGAGAGCTGTGGCAGGACTGTATTGTATTTTATATTTAGCATGCTTACCAAAAAGGAAATGATACTTATCTCTAATGTTCTACAAAGAACATTTTGATAACTCTTAATTTCTTTCTCCAGATTGAATTTAAAAATAATCTTGACCTCTTAGGATATGTCAAACTATATTCTTCATTTATAAGCATACCTGAAACAGACTTAATGAGTGCTAAACATATAACATAAATTCAATCAGTTATGTATGAGGCAATTTGCTTCTGCTAAGTTCTAGGAAGATTTAAAAGTTTCTTTTTTAAAATATTCTGACCATTGCTAGTTGAATAGTTAATAGACATTAACTACTGTGTTGTGATTATACAGAGACTTGGAAAATGAGCAGAATGTGTTGGCTAGGAAAACAAAGGTGATTGTACAAAAAAAGAATATGAAAAGAATGAGAGAAACCATAGCATATTCAGGAAATGGCTACGGACACCTAGGAGGAATTTTAAGGAACTAAGCTAGAAAGGTAGCTTTGATACAGTTGTTCTCAATGAAAAAATGTTGATGCCTAGGTTACTCTACAGAATTTTATAGGGTAGGGCTCAGGTACCATCATTAGCATATATAACATGATTCTTAATCTGAAGACAAAATTGAGAACCATTTGTGTAGTTCATGAAAGTACTTTCAGTGGTGTGGGATGAAGCGTGTATTTAACTATCCTATCAAATAAAGAGGTACGATGCAAATTGACCATCACTCCAACACACAAGATGGCCACCCCCATGTAGATACAAGATAATTGCCACAAGATGGCTGGCAGGGGAGGGCAGTTGTGGGTGATCAGGCCAGCAGGGGAGGGAAGTTGGGGGGGACTGGGCTGACTGAGGAGGACAGTTGGGGGTGGCCAGGCCTGCAGGGGAGGGTAGTTGGGGTGGACCGGGCTGACAGAGGAGGGCAGTTTGGGGTGGCCAGTTGGGAGCGACCATACTGCAGGGGAGACAATTAGGGGCAACCAGGCTGGCAAGGGAGGGCAGTTAGAGGCAATTGGGCTGGCAGAGGAACAATTAGGCATCAATCGGGCTGGCAGGGTAGTGGTTAGGGTGTGATCAGGCTGGCAGGCAGCAGCGGTTAGGGGCAATCAGGCAGGCAAGCAGGCAGGCAAGCGGTTGGGAGCCAGCAGTCCTGGATTGTGAGAGGGATATCCGACTGCCCATGTAGGCCCAGTCCCACCAGGGTCCCAGATTGGAGAGTGTGCAGGCTAAGCTGAGGGGCACACACACACCCCTGCACGAATTTTGTGCACTGAGCCTCTGGTCTATAATAATAAAAATGTAATATGCTAATTAGACTGACAGCCAGACAACCTTCCAGATGAAGCTGGGACTGCAAGGGCTGAGCCCCTTGCACAAATTTCGTGCATTAAACCTCTAGTTTGTTTATATTTTGCCCTGCTCCAAAAAGGATTTAAAGTAGTAATAAGGATTTCAGAATTTATACTATGGAAATAAATAGTGTGTGTGTATTTTCCCTTGAATATATGTATGTTATATACAACACATCAACTTAATGTGTTTGAATGATGCTTCCTATTGCATTTGGGAGAAATATCCAGTTTATAATATTTTTTTCTCAAAAGCTGACTTTCTTTTTTTAAAAAAAATATATATTTTTATTGATTTTGTACAGAAAGGAAGGGAGAAAGATAGTTAGAAACATCGATGAGAGAGAGTCATCGATCAGCTGCCTCTTGCACATGGGGATATGCCCGAAACCAAGGTACATGCCCTTGACTGGAATCGAACCCGGGACCTTTCAGTCCCCAAGCCGATGCTCTATCCATTGAGCCAAACCGGTCTTGGCAAAAGCAGACTTTCTTGATTACTTTAGCCTTAGCCTAGCCTTGCAAGTTTTGAGTGAACTTCTGTTGAATTTTCTTGATCACTGAGTGTAATACAAGTCCACCACTATATCATGTTTAGAGAATACCAGTTTTTTTTTTTCATAATTACATGGTATAGTACTCTTTCCTTGGAATCCTATCTCTCTTATATTCCTTTCAGAAATTTTTTATGACTATTCCTTTTTATTTTTCAGATTTCAGTTATAATATCCAGCTTATGTCACCTTGAATTAATTTTTTTAATTACTCTTATCTAAAAGTAGATATAACTCATTGTCATATGTCACCTATTAGTTTAATTTGTTGTGTGTTTTTTTTTTCTCATGTGACTAAACTTCATAAGGACACAGGTTTAGGGAGTGTGTGTGTGTGTGTGTGTGTGTGTGTCTAAATCTTATTTGACATTGGTTCTGTAGTTCCTTGTACAGTAGGTATATAATGTATGTAGATACCCAGTATAATATTTATTGTATAATTTAAACACTGGTGTGACCTGTTTAGATATATGTTTTTCTGAAACTTTGTTCTCATGCTATTTAGGTAGATGTAGTGATGGTATCGATTAAAAAAATGTTGGACAATTTAAAAGCAAAGAAAATAAAATCCTCATTTAAACTTACTTAAACAATAGGGAAACAGTCTTAGGTAATTAGAAGTCCAGAAGTAGGGGTCATCTGACCTCCCTTGCCCTGAACTCTATAATTTATGATGAACTTGGATAATCTCTCTCTCTCTCTCCATTCTGCCAGCCTTAGTGTCTATTTCATCTTCTAAATTGGTTCCCCTTGTGTGGTTACAACAATGTTGACAGTGACAAGGTAACATGACATTTTTCTAAAGGAGACACACAAATGGCTTACAAGCACATGACAAGATGTTCAATGTCATTAGTCATTAGGGAAATGAAAACCAAACCACAACGAGCTACCACTTCACATTTACAGGGATGGCTATAATATTAAAAATGGAAAAAGCAATATTAGCAAGGATGTGCTGAAATTAAACCTCACGTATATTGCTGATAAAAATATAAAATGTTACAGTTGCTGTGAAAATTTTTGGTAGTTCTTCAAAAAGTTAAACAAAATTACCATATGTTTCAGCCATTCCTCTTAGATATATACCAAAAAGAATTGGAAACATGTATTCAAACAAATACTTGTACACAGATGTTCATAGCAGCACAGCTCACAATAGCCAAAAGGTGGAAACAACCCAAATGTCTTTCTATAAATGAATGGATTATGCTATATTCATGGATACTATTCAGTCAGAAAAAGAAAGAAAATAGTCATACCTGCTATAATGAGGATGAACCTCGAAAACATTATTATGCTACATGAATTAAGCCAGACAAAAAAGGTCATGTACTGTATGATTCCGTGTATATATAGAATAAGTAAATCTGTAGAGGTAAAAGGCAGCTTGGCAGTTTCTAGGGGCTGGGTAAAGGGAAAAGGGAGTAAATGATTAAGGAGAACAACGTTTTCTTTTTTGGGAGATGGAAGGGTTTTAGAGGTAGGTAGACATGGTGGTTGTAAAACATTGTGAATATATTAAATGGCACTGACTTGTTCAATTTAATGTGGTTAATTTTAAGTAAGTTTTACCTGAATTAAAATCTAGTACACAAATACATTGCCATCATATATTAATTATATAGTGATCCCAAAAAAAATGTGTACACATTTTAAAAGCAGCTAACTCACTTTTTATTCCTTTCAGGGTTTAATTTGAAATAATGGGTGAATTCAGACTAAGCTTTGAACAAAGACAATTTATCCTAAAGTGCCACTAGACTTTTTTTTTTTTAAATGGGGATACATAAAAGATTGTATGTATCCTTTTATGTATACATACTATCATACTCATTGGTTTTGTTACGGTACAAAACCAGCAACAGTCGACGAACTGAGGGCGCACAAATACCAAAGGAAATTATTCTTGATGTCTGATTTCATTGCTTCGTGTTATCAGCAGTTCCTGGGTCAGAATGGTCATCTGTTTGAAAACAGGCATTGACAAAAAAATTTCTGTAGATTTTTTTAAATTTTGAAAATGGACTTTATATTAATAAACACTGACTTTATAATCATTCAAATTATAATACATTTTTGGGATGCCCTGTATAATAAATCAGTATACTATAGTTGATTTAATCACAGATATACCAGGGATGATGAGTCTTATTTTTGTTACATTTGCTTTCCATGAATATTATCTGTTAAGAAAAGTGTGTATATTCACTTAATCAGTGAACTTCTATTTGCTATCCTTTAACATTTTTTATTAAACATCTATTTAACTGTTTTATAGAAATTTAAGTTTGGATGACCAGGGCTTTAATAGACTAAGTTATATTTCAAATGATCCAAAGAAATGTGTTAATACCATGCACTTTTAGTGATAAAATTGTTTTTCTTAACATTCTTTAAAAATGCCCTCAATGCTGTTTTGTCCAATAAATATTTTCACATTTATTTCATAGAGTTAGTAAATGAAATGTTAATAAAATTTCTAATACCACAGTGAGAATTATAAATATAGCATGTAATTTTCTTATCTTTGCTTAATCAGCCTAGCATCAGTTTCTCTAACATTTGATTTTTTTTACTTTGTCATTGTGATTATTTCAAAAATAATTATGTTAAATGGCACTAGGATTCGTACTCATTTTCAGCAACCCCTACTTTATTTTTACTAAGTGATCTGATGGACTTAAGTCTAAATAATCTTGTTCTCAGCTTAGCGTAAAATTATATTTAAGTGGAATACCACCTCTAAGAGCAAAGGATGCTGAGAAGACAATAAGAACCAGGTAGCATTTATATATCAGAGCTTATCTGGGGGCCCCTACCCCAGCAAAGTAAACATTTTTTAAAGTTATTTAGGCTTATTATAACTTTAAAACATAAAAGAGTGTGCACGAGCTCTGTTTCACACTTTCCCAGCCTGGTATTAGCTTTAAGCCATAGAAAAACCTAAACAGTGCCCATTGTTAATAACTTGTTCACTATTTTTAAATAATCAGATGAGAAATCCATTCTGGACCAGAAACCTTCTAAACCAGCTGCTCCACAAGTCCCACCCAAGAAGCCTACTCCACCCACCAAAGCCAATAATTTATTGAGATCTTCTGGAACAGTGTACCCAAAGCGACCTGAGAAACCAGTTCCTCCACTACCACCTGTAGCCAGGTACGATTTAAGCTAATTAATTTACCTGCCTTTGACATCAGTGCCTTTCTAAATATCAAAGAAAGTTTTAAAGTATTTGGTTTCCATATTTTTCTATAGATTTTAATAATTCTCTATTAAATATTAATCTTATATTCACATTTATATTCAGTGAATATACTCATATTAAGCTGTTTTTACATTTCTGAGTTTATTGGGATTAGTTTTAAGGTAGAAGTCAATATTTATGGAAATCATTTTATAGAACAGAAAGAAAAATCAGTATTATTTTATAACATCTTAATGTCATTAAATTAAAATGTTAAAAAATGGTCATATTTCACATACAAGTGATTTTTGCCTCTGTTTGATTTTCTCATTTCAGAATTAATGGGGAAGTGCCTGCCATTTCATCAAAATTTGAAACTGAACCAGTATCAAAACCAAAGTTAGATTCTGAACAGTCACCACTTAGACCAAAATCAGTAGATCTAGATTCATTTACAGTTAGGAGCTTTAAAGAAACAGGTAAGTTAACATGTTGAAAGGTGGTACATTATAAAAGTTGCCAGTATAATTTTCAGAAACAATTTAAATAAATTTGTATACACAATTTGTGTGTGGACAGATGCAGTGGAATTTAATTAAAATTTGTTTTAAATCTATGAAGTCAAAATAGAAAAACATAAAAGAAGATAAATGGGCAGGATGTTTATGATTCACATAAACTTTCTTATTGGCCAGAGGACTGAGGTGGCCAGAGGACTGAGGAGTTCATTCATTTGTCATCTGACTCTTTAGAATAGATGACCACACCACCTAAGTCACACAGATCTGAAAATGTTTTAGTTTTAGAAGTTTAAAAATAAAGACTTTAATGCTAGCACTAGATTACATTTAAAAATATTTTTTATTTTCTACTTAAAACCAATATACTTTTCTATTCAGACCAATAGGCTCTTTGTGACTTACTCTCTACATATCAGCAGTCTTCTTTAGGTAAATAATGTTCATTAAGTTTTAGACTGACTTTTTCAGCCTATTAATCATCTTTATTAGTTTCTAGTCTTTTATCCATTTTAGTTCTAAAATGGAACACTTGAAACAGGAAGTCTTGATACAAGTCAAAAGTGTCACTATTAAAACATTGTACACTTGTGGTAATGGTTTTTGTATAGTACTTTGAATTTTAGTTTTTATACATTTTCAAAACACTTTCTCAAATATGTTCATATTTTATCTTTACAGTAATTGTAAGAGGCAAATACTAATTTTTCTATGGTACATCTAAACAGAGTAAGCTAAAGGTACATCAGATGTTCAATAGCACAGAAACCAGAAGAGAATTTTTAAGATCATATTTATAATAAAGGCTCTGTGAAATATTTTTAAAAATTTTAATATTTTAAATATATTTTTAGTTTCAGTGTTAATATAAACTCAAGGTCAGATACACTTTATTTTGTCACTATATTGGAAAATGTACTATTTATTAACTTTAAAAATTCTTCAGATGATTTTGTCTTTCCTCTTCAGTTTGCCAATACCAAAGCTCTGACCTAACATGGCCTCCCACAGTTTTTTAATTGTGGAAGTGTCTTATCGATCCTTTTATCATGTATTTTGGATCCTGCCTGCTCTGGATGAAGCCATATTCATTCATTTCTGGAATTTAAGATGTTGGTTGTATTTTAGAGCCATTTACTCAAATATGTTCAGTATGTTTTATCTGATGAAAATTATTCATATTCACTGTTAGTTAAATAAAGTAAAATTCTCTGTTTTTCAAAATACTCCTTTCTGTTGAGGTTAGTGGTGAAAATATGATTCTATCAGTTCTTACTTGTTTTCTGTTTGATGTAAAATACAGCTAGAAATGTGTTTTCAAAAGTCATAGTTGGAGAAATAAAGATTAAGTGCACAGTTTTAACTCTGGAAAACAAAACTTCATGGACATTACCTTTTTTAATTTCCACAATTATCTTCAACCTTTATCAGAAGTCTTAAATTTTAATGAGTCATTTTGGGAGCTGAAGAAGTAATATTTAGAGCTTCTATAGTCTCTATTTTTCTGTTACTTTGTATCATTCTTGCATATTTTTCATCATTTGGTTGTCTCAGGTCATGAAAATTGCACACAAAAAATTTTAAGTAAATAAAAAACATTTTTAGTTTTCCAAACTTTTTCTATATATGATCACCAGTAAATTCTGTTTCCTTTGCTATATTTCTAATAAAAATTATGTGTAACAGTGTGAAAGTATTGGTAGTTGAAAAGTTCTACTTTTTGCCTTGTTTTGGGGCCCAATTCTTATCTTACATCCATAGCCATTATTCAGTCTTCATTAAAAACCAGAGGCTTTGTGGAACAGGGTTTTGAAATTTTCTGTTTTCTTTATCAAATGAATAAGGGAGTAACTTAGAGATGCTGAGATTTATATATGGTCAAGAAACTAAGAGCTGTCTTTCAAGCTGCTGTCCTTTATTCTTTCAGGGATAAAGTATCAGGCTGCCCTAGGTGTACCACACTTATACCCTGTAAAGTTCAGAAAATATAAATTTTGGAAATTGAGTTCATCTTAAGTGGCAGATATTTACTAAGAAGTGTTCTTTCTTCAGTGCTATTGTAGGCATAAGTAGTGTATCAACATAAAAGGCACAGTTGGTGACAGTAGCTTATGGTCTCAGACCATAACTCAGGCTATTTCTTATTTTATTTTAATTAAAATATCAGATGTTATTAGTATGCATAGACAAAAGTTGTTTTACCTCTTTTTCAGAAACTGTTCTGCATCAAATGCATCCCTTTAACAAGTTTCAGACAGTTTTAAAAAATACAAAAATCTTTCATTATGATTTAAAGTAATAAATAATTTCAAGTGAAATGACAGAGTAGAAGGTGGGTTATAAATTATTAGTTGATGGTCATTTTTGGCATATTTCTTCTATAAATATATTTTCTTGCTTAAGTAACAATTGAACAGCCCAAAATTTCTATGATACTAGAATGCCTGACATGGAAGTTGGTATAAAAAGTTATTTCTTTTCTGCTCCCCTCCTCCATTGTTAATCCCATCTCATTCTGTTTCTGCTCCTATCTAGGAAGGATGTAAATTCCTGATCCTCCTCTCAGATAGGATTTTCCTGTTTATAAAGGCATATAAAACACATGTATGTATATTAAGTACAGACTCTGACTTTTGTACATATAAGAAAAACATTCCAAAGCAGCCAATTAGGTTTTATTTTTCTTTTGAAAAGTTTATATATATCCTCATATATGATATAAAATAGTACTACAAATTGTAGAGCTGTTACAACCATGTTTTAATTGCTTTTTCAAACACCTCATTAAAAAATTGGTTTGGATAATCTCGGTGCCACTACTGGTTAATCATAAACTTTATGTGATCTAAATAATTTTCCAGACAGTTCACAATTAGTTTTAAAATAGAAAATGTAGTGGTAATGTAATTATGTCAAAAGCACAGATGATGAAGTATTCTTAAGAGTGTAGCATTTTGCCGAAATCTGTTTGGCTCAGTGGTAGAGCATCAGTCTGCGAACTGAAAGGTCCCGGGTTCGATTCCGGTCAAGGGCATGTACATTGGTTGCGGGCACATCCCCGGTAGGGGGTGTACAAGAGGCAGCTGGTCGATGTTTCTCTCTCATCGCTCTCATCGACGTTTCTAGCTCTCTATCTCTCTTTCCTCCTCTCTGTAAAATATCAATAAAATATTTTTTTTTTAAAAAGACTGTAGCATTTTAATCTTTTTGTTGTTATTAATCCGAACCCCATGATATTTTTTTTCATTGACACTGGAAGAGAGGGGAAAAATAGATTGAGAGAGAGAGAGAGAGGGAGAGAGAGATGTAAGAGAGACACAGTGATTGGTTGTCTCCTGCACACATCCCAACTGAGGCTGGGGATCGAAACTGCAACCCTTTTGTATGCAGGGCCATTCTCTAACCACTGAGATACACGGGCCACGGTGTATTTTTTATCTTTTTTAATTGCTTTTCTGTGGTAAATTTTTGGGTTAAAATTTGTATCTTCTAATAATTTCTTTGATGTCATTCTAGAGAGTATAAGATATTATTGAATTTTCATTTATATATATGAGATTTCAAGTGTTATACTAAGTTGCATTTTTTTATTGAAATATTTTAAAAGAAAAATATAGTTTTTATTAGATCATAGAATTAAAATTTTCTCATATCTACTATATGCTGAAGACTAAACCTTGACTAAAAGGTAGTTTAATTTTAGTAACAGCTATATTAAATATATATATAGAAATTTATACCCATCATAATTTTCCCTTTGAAAAACAAAAGAAAAAATCTAAAATCCAGGACAAATCTTATGTAAGTTTAGATTATTTGTAATAGGTATATGCTAAATATTGAGCTAATTCTATTCGTTCTGCAACTGTTTCTTTTTCCTGCTTTGTAAAATAAATTTTTGGTTTAGTCTTTTTTCTAGACATTTCTATCCTTGACTTTTCTTTCCAGATTTTGTTTCCTAGCCTGTTTGCCATGTTTCCCTTCTTACGTGTCAGAAAATTATTCTACCTTTCTCCATTTTGGTAAGATAACAATTTATAAAAGAAATCAAAATATTATATTCACTATAAATAGGTGGTGCACATTGATTATTTTTCTTTTTTTGTGTGTAACTTTACTAAAAGTGTACATGTTTGTCTGTCTATTCTAACCCTTTGGTTTTCCATTTTAAAATAAAATAAAATGAAATTCATGTTAGAAAAATTTTCCTGGTCAGTTTAAGATATTTTTTGATGAAAGTTTTTTGTTTACTTGAAAACAATAAAAATCAGTTTACTTTCTCCCCCAATTTGATATTTCATTGAGATTTTTAAAAACTCCATGTCTTCTTAGGCAGTATTTAGAAATTTAAATGGCTGGCAGAGTGACAATGTGATTGTAAAAATTAAGTGGTTGTCATGCCTTTTATGCCACATGGACAGTCTAAATCTATTGTTATTACTCAGGGAAATTGAAAAGTGTTTAATATATCATGAGTCCAAGATGTGCACTATTTTATTTTACTAACTGAATGGCTTCAATGGAGGACCTGAGAAAGTATTAGAATAGTAAAATCATTTATCTTGCTGTTGTAGCCCAAAATTAGACACATAAAAGGCTTTTTTTTTTTTTTTACATGAGCATGATGTATAATTTACCTTTTATTTACTCTTTCAGTTTCATTTATCTTCATCTCTTTCTATGGTTTTCTGTTTGTTTATTTTTCTGCAAGTTGCTTCAATATGCATTTGAAAATAATCTCCAGGGACTAAAATGATTAGATTGTACTTTTCAAGGTGGTTTTTTTTTTTTTTTAGGTTATCAATATACATCAGTGTAAAAAATATTTTTTCACCCTTTAAACTACAGTATATTTTTAACATTTAAAAAATATTTAAAAAAAATATATATATATATATATATGCTTTGTGGGTGACGTTTACAGATAAAGTGATATATATATATATATATATATATATATATATATATATACACACCCCCACACACACACATATATATATACACGCACACACACTGTATAATGACTTACATTAAATCCACTGTTTATTATGATTTGTTTTATTTTATACTTACTTATAGACAATTATTTTACTCAAGATAATAATTAAACCAAGCACGTTAGATTGCCTGTTGTGACATATTAACCTAGTGACTAGATGTAAAATAGAATCCAGAATAGAACCCCAGAATGTGAAGGTGAGAACAAAGTGGTCAACAGACGTTTAGGTGTCATAAATTACATATTGCCAAAAAGTGATACCTAACTTCCTCTGCCTTAGCCCTTTTTTCTTCATCTCTTTAAAAAAAATCTAAATGAATTATTTTGAATATAAAAGTTGATGAGTAAGCTGAGGATAGTAATGATTAGAATCTTTAGATTCTATTATAAAATAGTATAACTATTTAATAGTGGGGCATCTAAATATTTTACAGAAAGTGTATAAACATTCAGGTAACAAAAATAAGAATGATTCTATACCTGGAAGACTAGGCCAAAGAAATCTGCCATTTCAAGAATCTTGACTGTGGTTAATATCCCTAGTTTATAATTTGGTCTTAAGGAAAATAATATTGACAGTGGAAATATCTGGAATTACCCTTAAGATTTTGTATACTTATAGATACCTGTGCTTCAAAATTAAAGACCAGCTCCTTTAGGAAGGTTTTCTGGATCATTTAGAAAAAGGCATTATACACTATTGTTTCAGGAATACGAGTTATTAGATTTCTCTTTACACTTGTTATTGAATCGAAGGTCAGTTAGCCTTTGAAGGTGGGGAAACTAGTGGATGATCTATGTAGGATTTTTCCTTGATTTCCCATCTGCCTTAGATTTATAACTACCTTGTAACTTCTAAACATGCTGATGTCTCTGTAGAAATGCAGTAAACTATAAACAGTGTGCATCCCAGCTTTAATATACTGTTTACATACATACATATCAAACACATTAAATTGTGTTTTCACTTTACAAAAAGCAACTGGAAAACAGCAGTGTGGGTCCCAGATATAGTTGACTCTTTAAAATTTGAATATCAGGATACTACCTGAAGTTTAAAACAAAGCTTTTGTTTTTATTATATGATACAATAATTATGAGTTGAAATAAATTATTTTTTATAAGGAAGAACTTAAGATGATAGCTTTTTTTAATGCAACAACAGCTTGTGTACAGATTTACATCTTTCAAGAACTTTTAGCTCTGGTCTAAGTCTGTTAAAAGCATGAACTTTATATTGTTACTAAAGCCTTATGCTATAAAATGTATCAGGTGAACAGGATGTTTGTTTTCTAAGGGTGAATGTTGTTTTCTAAATGCATATGAAAAGCACAGGTCAACTTGTGAGTTCTTTCATTTAAAGTTTGCTAAAAATCCAGAAATATTTTTTACTTTTCAAAATACACAGTTTTCTCTTAGTGTATACATTGAATTTTATTCTCCAGATATTGTGAATTTTGATGACATAGCTTCCTCAGAAAACTTACTACATCTCACTGCAAACAGACCGAAGATGCCTGGAAGAAGGTTGCCTGGCCGCTTCAATGGCGGGCATTCTGTGAGTTACACTTACTGTTGTAAAACGAGGAATTTAGCAGCTCCAGAGTCCTTCTGAAGATAAGATTGAGGGAGGTTCTATAGCTTTACTAAAGTTTGAAAAACAGGAAGATAGCTGTTGTACTCAAGTGGTACATGTTGTATTTAAGATGTGGGGAATGTGTCTTGTTCATTTAAAGAGCTGGGAATGTAAGGTTCCAGAATCAGAAATAGAGTGTCCTGAGACCATAACCACAGAGCACTCAAAAAAGGACACGGTGTATTGTATAATCTGCCTGACCAACAACAATAATTAGAGTTGAGTGGTACATATATACATTTTAGGAAAGATGGAAAACATCTTTCTCCTTGAAGTAGGAAGTGATTTATATAGTACTAATCCTGGTATACAAATGTGGAACTTCCTTTTATGCTTTTTATATATTACTTGGGTTACTAGTAATACTTTAGTGCTAATATATCGTTTTTTAAGTACATATCTTTAACTAGAGAACTTTTTACCACTGAGAGGGAACCTGTTTTTCCCTCAAGCTATGCAAGTGTCTTATTCAGCTTGAAATTATGTAACATCCTGTTAATAATAATGGAACATTAGGTGCTGAGAACAGAGTTAAAAGTTATTTATTTTATTATCAAGTACTAACTTTTCCTACTTTGGTGTTTTCTGTTTCTTGATTTGAAAAAAAAAAAAAAAATCATCTAGCCAACTCAAAGCCCAGAGAAAATCTTGAAGTCACCCAAAGAAGAAGATAGTGCCAACATAAAGCCATCTGAATTTAAAAAGGATTCTTGCGACTCTCCAAAGGTGAGGCGTGGTCCAAGATTTATATACTGTCGTTGTGGTCGAAGGTTTATATATTGTGTAAGATTCTTTTTAAACGTCAAAGCTGTGTAATTTGAAGTGTCCTTTAAGAAATATTTCTTCTGCCAAGAAATAAAATAAAACTTGCTAAAAAAAAATTGAATTGTTAAAGTTGTCACACTATTCTCTGCAGATCTTTTTTTTTTTTTTAGAAGACCTTTTTTTTTTTTAAGAAGACATTTATTTTAAATGAATATGTTTTCTACTTGTTAAGGCATAGATCTATACATTTATTTTACTTTCATGAAACATAAACTCATTAGGGGAAAGCATTCACGTGTTTGCTTCTTATCTAGCTTGATGCTTGGTACCATAATAAGCACTGGAATGAGTAGTAGAATATATGGTTTCTCCCATCTATTTTATGATAAGACCTTTTTCTAAATTCTAGCTATCCTATCTAATAGGGAATATGCTAATGGACCCACATACCATCACAAAGATGGTGGCACTCACAGCCAATAGGAGGGAATATGCTAATTGACTTCCCTGCACTCAAAGACAGTGGGGTTTGACTCAGTGGATGGAACGTCACCCTGCAGACTGAAGGGTCCTAGGTTCGATTCTGGTCAAGGACATGTACCTTGGTTGTAGGCACATCCCCAGTGGGTGGTGTGCAGGAGGCAGCTGATCAATGTCTCTCTCTCTCATTGATATTTCTAACTCTATTCTTCTCCCTTCCTCTCTGTAAAAAATCAATAAAAATATTTAAAAAATAAATAAATAAAACAAAGATGGCAATGCTCATAGCCAATAAGGAGGGGATATGCTAATTGACTGCCACACCTTCCAAAATGGAGGCACCCAGTCCCCTCAGCCCCACTGGGGCAGCAGGTACACAACAAGGCCAGGCCCTGCCACTCCATGCCTACCTCGAGTACCCCAGACTCCTAAGCACCCTAGCCACCTAGCACTGGCCCAAGGCACAGGCAAGCCTTGGATGGTGGCTGCTCAGTTTCCCAGGGCTGCCTAAGGCTCAGATAACCAGGGCAAGCCAAGGCTTGTGCTGTTGGCAGTGGCAGCAGCAGAGCTGTGATGGGGCATCGCCTTCCCCTGATCACCTGGTCTCCTGAGGGCTCCCAGACTGTGAGAGGGGGGCAGACCAGGCTGAGGGATGCCCCCTCCAGTGCATGAATTTTCATGTACTGGACCTCCCGCTTTTATTTAAAGGAGTATTGCCACTATGGAATCATATTTAAGAAGGTCATTTTCTCCCATTATCTGTGGTGATTCTGTTTCCAGATTCCCTCCCCCCAATATATATAATTTTATATTTAATATGTACATGCATACATATCTTTTTCCTTTGGGGAAGCATCAATGACTTCTCTTTAGCGTATCAATTGACAGGACAAGTGATCTGATAACCAAGATGGCTACTAAGTGACTAACAGTCAAGTAGTCTATACGCCACTTGGACACCAGGACAAACGGATAATTCACATCTGGGCAGGACAGAACGAGACAACTCGAGATTTAATCACACTACTCAGAATGGCCTACAATTTAAAACAGGAATTGTTATCTCTGGAATTGCTTATTTAATATTTTAAGATGGAAAAGAAATATTTTCAGACCGAGGTTGACTGCAGGTAAAAAGTGCATAATGGAAAACTGCAGAAGGGAGGGACTGTATATTCTTGCTTCTAGATAGTTCACTAGGCAAACTATTCATAATGCAAATCTAATGTATTTTCTTTTTTTTTTTTTAAGAAAACAAAATCCTTGATATTTCTCACAAAAATACCTTAGTGATTTGCAAGTTCATTCTTTAGTGTAGTGTTTTCCAGTTGTAAATACCAAACTGCTTTTAGTATTCCAGATTTATTATTTATCTTGCCATATGGCTTTATTCGTCTCCTTGCTATAAAAACCTTTTGAATTTAAATGTAATATTAAATCTGAATACAAATAAAATCACAATAATTTCTATTGTATTTTCAGCCATCTCTGTACCTTTCGACACCTTCAAGTCCTTCAAAACCAAATGCAGCTAGTTTTTTAACGCCATTAGAAATCAAAGCTAAATTAGAAGCAGACGATGGGAAAAAAAATTCCCTGGATGAAATTAAAGCTGAGATGATTGAGCTGCTGTGCATTGTGGAAGCACTGAAAAAAGAGCACGGGTAAGGAGCCTTTAAATACTACCTGACACTTGTGTAAAGGATTCTTCCAAATCAGATGAAGTATTCCAAGTTATTGATATCAACAAGTATTATTTTCAAAGAACTTTCCATTAATAGTGCTTATCTCCTCTTGGCAAAAAAAAACAAACAAACTTGAATTAGAAAACTTGTCCAAGTAGCCCAATTATAAGAAAGGTACAAGCCTACCTATCATTTAAAGCTAGAAATTTACTGGCCAAAATCAGGAGTTAATTAAACTTAAAAAATTAGGAAAACCATATTATATTATATGTTGGATCTGGGCATATCTTTTTGTATGTTTATTTCTCAGAAACTTTGATCGCTGTTTCTGCTAGAGTTAAGCTCCATGTTTATAAAAGAAATGGGTTGGGATAGGTGGTCTCTAAGGACCCATCTGTTACCTCTGAAAATTTTTGATAATGGTATATGTTGACACATACCCTCAGTGAAAATTAAGAACGTTTCTGCAAAGGCCCAGTAGTTAGATCAAAGATCAGCTATCTAACTGAAGTGAGGATAAAAGGTCAGGTGCTCTTTTCCTTTCTCACTGTCTCCTGTAGCCTCTAAACTATTTCCTTGAATCTGGAATCTGGTGTAAAAGTCCCCTCCAGAAACCATGTTACCTCTGAGCCTGTACAATTTCTCCCCCAATACTCAGTTGGCATTGGGTTCTTTAATAAAAACAATATTAAGATGAATAATAGGACGTATTTGTAGTTTGCAGAGTATTTTTGTAAACATCTCTTGGATACAAATAAAAATTTATCTTGAGCATCTACTTAAATAATACTTTATGCATATATAATTATATAGAGAGAATATTTGTAATTTGATATCCTTCAGTTTATCTCTTCTGAATTCAGCAATTTTTTCACAGATTCTATAATATGCACATTATTAACTGTAAGTTATTTCATCTAGGAAATACTTACTGAGTACCACCCATGTACCCAAGAGCCCTCCTGATTTGTTGATTTTGACATTTTATGTTTTTGATACCAGGTGTGCTTAATGAACTCATAATTACACATACAAATTTCCTGTAGGTGCTCTTAAATAAGCTGTAAAATGAATAAAATATTTATGATGTATTTTTATTTTTAAACATGATGTATTTTAGAAGTCTTCTACTTGAAAAATGAAATGAATGGCAGTGATTTAAACTGAAGAAGAGCATCATAGTAGAGTGTGTGTGTGTGTGTGTGTGTGTGTGTGTTTATATTTCTTTTTATCACTGTACACTGTACAGTACTTTTCTGTATCAATATAAATACATATATGGGATATATATATATATCCCATATATGTATGTTTATTGATATATATATCCCATATATGTATGTATATTGATACAGAGAAGTACTATACCATGTACAGTGATCAAAATAAATGAATTATGGCTACATGTATCAACATGAATTAATCTAAGAGATGTTGTGAGGGGGAAGTAATTTAGAGACATACATACAGTATTTACATAAAGTTGAAAAACATACAGCGTAAGACAGTATTTTGTTTTATGATATATTTGTATGTGTAACAGAATTAGAAAGAAAAAAACAATCCTATATAATAAAAGCCTAATATGCAAATTAACCATCATTCCAACAAACAAGATGGCTGCCCCCGTGTGGTCAAAGATGGCCACTACAGATGGTCAGCAGGGGAGGGCAATTGTGGGTGATCAGGCCTGCAGGGGAGGGAAGTTATGGGCAATCAGGCCAGCAGGGGAGAGCAGTTGGGAAGGACCAGGCCTGCAAGGGAGGGCATTAGGGGGCAACCAGGTTAGCAGGGGAAGACAGTTGGAAGGACCAGGCCTGCAGGGGAGGATACTTAGGGTTGACAGTGGGCCGGCAGGGAAGGCCATTTGGGGGCAACCAGGCTGGTAAGGGAGCAGTTGGGCATTGATCAGGCTGGCAGGGGAGTGGTTAGGGGATGATCAGGCTGGCAGGCAGAAGCAGTTAGGGGCAATCAGAAAGGCAGGCAGCCCTGGATTGTGAGAGGGATGTCTGACTGCCCGTTTGGGCCCGATCCCACTGCCCCTGCCCCCACCCTCCCACTCCCATGCACGCATTTTGTGCACCGGGCCTCTAATAAATACTATAAAACTCATCCTATAAAGGGGAGGGGAGAAATGAGATTGAGGAGGGGGTGGCACTTTTGGGTTTCAGAGGTACTGATGGTATATATTTTATTTCCTAAGCTGACTTGGAGTTCTTAGCTTTTTGCTTTGTTAATTGTATCTTTATAGTTTATAAAAACATAGACTTTATGCATTCAGTATTAAAACCACAAATGCATAGAACAAGTCATTAAAAAACTGAGGGAGATTGCCATGCAAAGAGTGATGGTGGAGCAATACATCAGTAGTTTATTTTTTCAGTAGAAAAGTTACAGGACAAGATGTGTAGTTTGATCTTATTCTTGTAAAGAGAAAACAGTGCTATGTAAAAAGCTTATATTTGTAAATCTGTTTTTGAAAGGCATTCAAGATATGAAAGTGGTACTAAATTATCAAAATAAAAAGCAAATAGAATAATGTAATAGTATTTTAAGTATAGATATAGAGAACAGGATAAATATTCTAGGAGTAGATCCTAATTTAGATATAAATTAAATGTATAATAAATTCAGAATAGTTGGACAAAAGAAGCATTATTTTATTTAATGAAAACTATCAAAATAGGCTGAAACCAGTTTGACTCAATGGATAGAGCGTCAGCTTGGGGACTGAAAGGACCCAGGTTCGATTCCGGTCAAGGGCATGTACCTTGGTTGCGGGCATATCCCCAGTAGGGGGTGTGCAAGAGGCAGCTGATAGATGACTCTCTCTCATCGATGTTTCTAACTCTCTATCTCTCTCCCTTCCTCTCTGTACAAAATCAATAAAATATATTAAAAATATATATATATATCAAAATAGGAAGTTAAATAGCTTAGAAGTACATTTTATATCACATATCAAACTTAACTCTAGATAAATATGAGTTAAATATTTTAAAAATTAGAAAATGTAATTGCAATATAGCTTTATTTTTTTAATCATTGAAACCACAGAAGAAATTAGTTTTGCCGGCACCGGTTTGGCTCAGTGGTAGAGCGTCGGTCTGCGGACTGAAAGGTCCCGGGTTCGATTCCGGTCAAGGGCATGTACCTTGGTTGCGGGCACATCCCCAGTAGGGGGTGTGCAAGGGGCAGCTGGTCGATGATTCTCTCTCATCGACGTTTCTGGCTCTCTATCCCTCTCTCTTCCTCTCTGTGAAAAATCAATAAAAATATATTTAAAAAAAAAAAAAAGAAATTAGTTTTGATATTATATAATTTAAAACTTCCTCTTTTTTTCTCATATATTCTTCATGAAAATTTTCACAGTTTTCTTAAGCTATTTCTACAATACTCTTAAAGATAATTTTTCTAGTATATCAAGAAGCTGATAATATCCGCACTTTTTGGTTTAGAAATTTGATCTATTGATGTGTTCATGATATTAAATAAAGTTCCTATTCCTCCTATTTCCTTTGTTCCTTCAAAAAACCAACTATAGCCAAATAAAAAACTTGAATATTTGAATAACGAACAACAGTCATCAGAAATATGAAAATTTTAGCAATGTGGAAATGTTGTGTAAAATACTTTGTGAAAAAGACACATATACAATATATACTGAGATGTGTGGAAGGAAAAATGACTATAAAAAGGTAGATAGGACATAGCAAAATGAACACATGAGTTAAAGAAGAAGGATTGTTGGCTGAAGTTATTTTGTATATTTGGTTTTGGGATTTTAATGTTTAATCTTATTTAATAAACTATAACTTGCCTTATACTGGGGCATATTTTGACATTTGTTTTACCAAATTGTTTATGCCTGGGAAATGCGTGTTAACTGAATGTGGGAGATTGCCTCTAAAAACAAGTTATTTATTTTGTCATGAGCTGTTCTGAATTCACTTAAAATTTTATTTTTATTCTCAGGTACTTGTACCATGTTTTGTTGAGTATTACCTCTTATACTGAACCATTCCACATAGAGATTTTGAAATTTTTCTCAATTAACTTGGCTCTTTACTTTAAAAAGTTTTTCCATGTTTTGGGATGTCAGGCAACACAGAGACTGGTAACATTAGTCAAATGTATATTTTAATTGAAAGCCTCAACAGTAATAATGACTTTGTTTTTAGGAAAGAACTGGAAAAACTACGAAAAGATTTGGAAGAAGAGAAGGCAATGAGAAGTAATCTAGAGGTAACTCATTTCTGCCAGCCTTAAGATTGCAGGCAGGACAAAGTAGACGTGTTTTTTTCAATCCCAACTTTGTGATTGCTTCCACTAAGTGATGTTATGTTACTTCAGCTGGACACTCCCTGCTGCTTGTAGCCATTTAATTTACCTCTTGTTGACTCCCTATCACATCCCATTGTGTTTGCACTACCTCTCATTGGCGGAGCATGAGGCACGTGGGTAAAGCATGGTTCTGACCTCTTAAGAGTGTCTACTTCTAAATCTTTTGCACTCAACATTGCTTCGTACTGGAGCTAAGTTCTCTTTTTCCCCCCAGCTTTTGCTGGGGGCAAAGCTGATAGTGGTGATGGTAATGGAATGGCTATTGATTTGCTGACTTGAATTTCTCACTGAGAGTTTATAACTAATGTCATCATCTTCACTGTGCTGATGACTGACAATTTCACTTGTTTTCTTTGTCTTCCTTAACTTTTTCCCCATCCTCACTGACTTTGGCTTTCATTTGTCTTCTTCAGAGAAAGTGTGTCCTGCCTTTTTTCAGAGGCTCATTCCATTCTCTGTTTATACTTTTCTCAACTTTTCCCTTGCCTCATTATACTTACCCATTTCTTCTGTTAGCACTGAGACATGGAGAGGAGGTGGACTTGCCATTAAAAACTTGCGCTCCTCTTTTGGCTTCTCATGATTTCCAGTTCTAAACCATGGGTCAGTCAGGCTTAACACTTCCTGTACATTATCTCATTGAACACACATAACAACTTGTAGGATTATTGTTCTCATTTTAAGGATGAAGAAACAGGATTAGAATGATTAAGTCACTGGTGGAGCTGAAATTTTTAATAAAGGCAGCCAGACTTCAGAACCTTCACTCATAGGGATTAAGTTATACAGTTTGAACTTGAGGAAGTCACTTAGCCTTATTTGGTTTTGGTTGTTGAGGTATTATATGTGAAGGTATTTAGTCAATTATCAAAACTCTGTTTTTACTCTTATATGACACTAGACAATTGGGGTTAGGGTGGGACCACAGGAGGACTACAGGGCGTGTTCAGCCTGTCTCGCCCAATCCCAATCGGCTGAACTCCAGCAGCAAGCTAACCTACCCGTCGGAGCATCTGTCCTCTGGTGGTCAGTGCATTTCGTAAAGACTAGTTGAATGAATGGTCAAACACTTAGCATATTAGGCTTTTAAATATATATAGATATTCCCTTTACTGGCTCTTCCATGAAAACACTTTTTTTTCTTCTTTCTTTTTTTAGTCTAAATAAAACAAAGAAAAGCCCCCTTTCATGTTCTGATACCCTCTGCATCTACTGTAGTTTTCTCTTTTCATTTGGGATTCATTTATTGAAGAAGAAGAAGAAGAAAAAAATGCATACGTTAGCAGTCTCTAATTCACTTTTAATTCACCCCTGGCATTGAATTCACCCCTGGCATTTTTGGTTTACTAATGGCAATTCCAAAGTATCTGCAGTTTCCATGGCATTTCCCATTTTGACATTGCCACTCTTTGAAGGATTTGCTTGGTTTTTATGATCTTGAATTTTTATCTTTAACTTTTCCATCTCTTCCTTTCTTGTGCTGGTAAGTGAAGTGCTCCCTCAGGACTGTCCTTGATTCTCCTTTCTGTACATTACCTCTTGTTTCTCTGAGCCCATGAATAGCGAGATTTGCTCTAGTGTATCACCATCTAAATCTAATCCTTCTGTCTCGTCTTCTATTTTGTTTCTAGCTATTAGTTTTCCTGGATGTTCCACTTGAACGTAGATTTAGCATGATCCCTATGAAATTTATCTTTCTTTCCTACTCTTGTGATTCTTTGTTTCTGTCAATGGTTTTGTTGCTCTTCTAGGCATTTGGAAACGGTACTTCTATTCTCTTCTGATTCTATTCCATTCAGGCCTGTTAGCTTCACATCCTAACCTTCATCTTCTTTTTCCCACTATTTCTCATGCTCTTTATCTTTCTGTTTGGCTTGGTGAAGTTTCTCTCATTCTTATCTCAAATTTCCTCACTCAGTACTTCTCAGAACTTTCTCTTAATTGCGGAATAAAGTTTATCCTTCTCAACTAGGCATATGTCTTTTATGACCTGATCCTAGTTTCTCTCTCTTTCCTTACTTGCTGATCCTCCATAGTCCCTTTCAGTTAATCTTCTGAACTTTTATGCCTGTTATATTTTCCTTTGGTCTCATCTTCTCATGCCTAAGTTCTCCAGATTCTCAGGGCCCAGCTCAGTCACCTTAAGTTGGTACCAGTCTTTTCTGATTAAGATTAATTTATGTTTCTCCAAGTTCATATACTTTAATTTTATTAGATTAATTTTATCTTATCATCATTGCATTATATACTTCTTTTTGCCTACCTTTTAGCTAGAAGACTGTTGGAGACAGGATCTATGTCTGTTTCATCTTTGCCCATAGCTTCTAGCACAGTGCTATGTACATATTATATTAGCAAGTCAACTTTTGTCAAATTGATGTTAGAGGATACATGCTAAAAAGGTCTTAGATTCCCAGTGTGTAGCATGTAGAAATTGAGAAATTTAAAAATGTTTTATTTTAATTTTTATTCCTTACATTTTATACATACACATTTATATTCATAGTTTAATAAGATAAGATAATAGATAAGAGGAACTAATTCAGTATTGAGTCTCAATATATGATATGTAAAAAAAATTATAAAAATCAAAGTCAAATGAACTGTGCTTTTTTTTTTTTTTAATTGATTTGAGAGAGAGAGAGAGATGTTGATTTGTTGTTCACTTATTTATTAGTTGCTTCTTGTATGTGCCCTGATCAGAAATTGAACCTGCAACCTTGGTGTATGGGAGCGACGCTCTAAACAACTGAACTACCCAGCCAGGGCCTGAACTCTTTGTTTTTTTGAAGAAAGTTCTTTGACTCAATATTTTTAGCCAAATCAGCTATTAGCCACTCAGTGACTTGTGCTGTTTGTTTTTTCCCTAATGGGGAAAGTTTTTACTTTTATTTGTAAAAGCACTCTTTTTTAGGCATTTGAGTTTTAGAATCATCTGTTTAGAGGAGAAATTTTATTTCCCCAATAATTAAAAGTAGTACTTTGAGCTACTATGAAGTTAGCATTATATAGCGCTATATATAAATAATGAACATAAAGGAACTAGATGAGAGAAACTACAGTAATATAAGTATTTGTCTAATATCTAAACTTATGCAGTCTTTCAGGAATATTACTGACTGCATATGGGATTATTTTTTCCACCCTCTATTCTCCTCCATCAATGTTTGGTTTTTGGTTTTTTTCCCCCCCTATTTCTGTGTATGCTCTCCCATTAAAATTTTTATGGTTGGTTAATGTATCTTTGAACTAGAAACAATACCACCACATTAGGCAGACCATTGAGCAATGTTGTCTTCGTCCAGTCTAGAGACTAAGAATTGTCCCAATCAAATACTGCTGAAATGTATAATAATCATATTAGTTGAGTAATAATATCAAGAAAGATCCTGGAATTAACAAACCATTCTTTTTCTTTTCTTCTTTTAAACATATTTTTATTGACTTTAAAGAGGAAGGGAGAGGGAGAGAGATAGAAACATCAATGATGAGAGAGAATCGTTAATTGACTTCCTCCTGCCCATCCCATCCCCCACTGGAGATTGAGCCCACAACCCAGGCATGCACCCTAACTAGAATCAAACTGTGACCTCCTGATGCTCAACCACTGAGCCACATCGGCTGGGCAACAAACCATTCTTGAATGGTTAGAATCCCTTGGAGATATTGAGTTCCAGTTTTTTACTGACAGAAAATGCTCATCATATATAATAAAAGCCTAATATGCTAAGTGTCTTGTTGTCCGTTTGGCCATTCAACCAATCAAAATGTAATATGCTAATGACATGCTAAGGCCGCTCAACCACTCACTATAATGTGACAACCAGGGGGCAGACAGCCCACTGGTCAACCAGTTGTTATGATGTGCACTGACCACCAGGGGGCAGATGCTCTGTTAGGGTCCAGCAGATTAGGACTGAGCTAGATGGGTTGGACATGCCCTGGAGCCCTCCCACAGTCCCTCCCCTGCTGGCCAACCTTCCATGTCCCTCCCCAGCGCCCATGGTGCACCTATGGGGTTTCTTGGCCTGGCCTGCACCCTCTCGCAATGCAGTACCCCTCGGGGGATGTTGGAGAGCTAGTTTTAGCCCGATCCCACAGGCCAGGCGGAGGGACCCCAATTTTGCCAAATTTGGGCACTGGGCCTCTAGTTGTTTAATAATGAATTATTTGTCAGAGGTTAGTCATAGCATGTATGGTCTTTTGGGTAGAGGGATGATGCTATCAGGAGATAGTGAGGCCTAAATATTTCCACATGCCAAGAAAGGTCAAAGATGATCAAAATATATCAATGTAAAGAGAAAATAAAAATGGTGCTTTAGGGCCTTAGAATTTATCAGTACAAGTTCTCTGTCACTTATTAGCATGGAACCATTGGCATAGTATTTAATCTCTTCGAGCCTCAACTTAGTTGGTTGTAATATATCAAAATTACATAACTGTAGTTATTGTGATAATTTAGTGAAGTTTTCAAATTTCCTTAAGTTTCTGAATTGTGAACTTCTGTTAATGGAAGGATAGAGTCTGCCTACAGGTCAAAATATTTCCAATACATTGAATCTTAAATGCATTTCTGGGGTTTAAAGATAACAATCTAGAAGATGTTATTTGCAGATACAGAAATTGAGATCAAGTGAGGTTAAGTGATTTACCAACATCACATTGGTTGTACATGAAAAAGAGAACTAAACTAGTATATATATATATATATATGCTGTTCTATACTGTCCCTTTTGTTTAGTTAAAGATCTGTGTATAAGTTCTTAATTTGTTTTCAAAAATCCTTGTTCTTTGTGGGGCTGATTTTCTTACAGTTCTTCTAAATACTCACATGGCTTAACCTTCTGGCTGAAACAACTGTAGTTGCCTTTGTGTTGTTATTGCCTGCCATTTAGGAACTTGCATGGTGACATTTTCTTCTGTTGAACTTTGTAAACACCATTGGAAATTGGATTTAGACTGGAAATCAGCATCTGTAAACTTGAAAGTATGACCAGATCTTAATGGCATATGATAAAATGAAAAAACTTGACTAGGGAAAAGATATTGTCTCTGCTGCTCAATTTATGTTTTGTATTTTAGGTAGAAATAGAGAAGCTGAAAAAAGCTGTCCTGACTTCTTGAAGAGGCACAGACCCAGTATTTATAATGAAATGGGGACTCAGAGGCAACACTATGAACTTCAATTGACTGGTTACTTAAAAATAACAAATGCTGATGTTGTGGTAAAGAAATATGAGTATATGAACTATAATATCTAGAGAAAAGTAGAGGGAGGGTGAATTTTTTTATATATTTTGCTTTGCCAATATGAGGGGAAAAGAGGCCTTACTTCTTACGTGCTGGGATTGCAAACTTCTTTTTTAGTTTGCTTGAAAATACTACTGACTCTGTATAAAAAGGAAAATTCACAATAGTTTTTTTTTATTGAAACATTTTTAAAGAGATCTATACTATAAATATGGTGATATCTTTACAAATAATCTGTAAAATATACTATTTGAGAGGGACAAATTAGCTTTATAGTAACGATAGTAACTACATTATACTTAGGGGATATGTACTTTGTGTGTATATATATATATAAATATGTATTTTTTCTTTCACTTTTAGCTTCTTACCCAGGAGACACTGTTGTGCCTGTTTGTTTGCAGTGCTGTTTATATTCTGGGCGATGTAATAGGAGTTTTCTAGCTGTATCCAGATTACTCACCCATGCATATAGTAATATCTAATGAATTAATCAAAAACAATTTTTTCTGCTTTTAGAATATTTTATATTGCTTGCACTATAGGATTTATAAAAGGAATTTAGTTAAGGTATATTGGATTGTTAAATATATTTGGAAAAATACGAGCTATATTTTAAATTCATTGGGTGTAAAGAAGTAAAAATGTCAATTTAACCCTTAACGTGTTGTGCCTAGAAACTATAGCACATACATGATATGCAAACACCAGCCTTATTGCTGTGCTTTTCTGATTATTTTACATGCTTCTCTGTTACCCATTTCATAATCTTGTGATTTAATCCTTTATTGCCCCTTCCTCTGATAGTTAATAATTGTAAACAAAACTCAAAACTTTCAGAAGTTCAGTGTGAAGTTTCATACTTTGACAACTTATCATTATGTAAATGCTAGATTTTTACAATGTTTAATTGACCTAATAGACTGAACTAAGATGTGGAAATATTTTGGACTGTGATTTAGGAAGCAACTTCATAAAAAGAAGTTAATATATCATTAAATTGTAGCTTATTTAAAACCAAATATAGTTGACCATATCAAAAATGCATTTTCACAAAATGGATGAATTAGCAGTTCCTTCAAAGTCATTTATGAACAGTTGGATATTTTAAAGTATTACAAGTGTAGTCTAAAAATGCCCGTTTTTGTAATAAGAGTAGAAAATTAACATTCTTCATTTGCAAAATAATTTAGATTTTAAGATTTTTTTAATTGCAAATGACTTAGATTTTGAGTACCCTCTATCATGCTTCCTCTTTGTGTTATTTTAAAGCATCAAACCAATATTTTTCCTTTAAAGTTTTGATCTTATAATTCTGAAATCTTGTATTAATTTTGTCACATTTCAAATAAAATAACTAAAGCTGAAAACAGTAGAAATTCCAATTCATAATTACTTCATATTAGATTCACAACTTACATGAGTGTTTGGAGCAAACCTAATTGTGTTGAATATGTATGTTTTAACTCTTTAAAGTCCTTGGGCTCTACTGATGAGGTTCATTACTGAACAAAATTGATTATTCCTGTTCTAAAATTTTTAAATGACTTGTCAAATGGATGACTTCCTTCTTGTTTAATAAGTTACACCTTATTTTCTTTTAATGAAAGTCCTCAAGTAGAAATATAAATAGTGTGTCCTAGAGATCATCCTCAGCTTTCTGTCTGAAAAAAAGTCTGTGACTCCTCCTCCCCCTAATAATGGGGTGAGGAAGTTTCCAGCAGACTCCAGGCTATTGTTAAAGTTTCTGTTGGTCATTTTCTCACATAAAGGCAAGATGGTCATGAGTCCAGAAATACATTTCAAATGTTTGCTTATAAATTTCCTCAATCAGAATAGAAAAGCAATTAAAGTGCTTTCTATTTTTCTACCTTTGACCAAAAAATAGAGAAAACCAAACCATCTCATACTCAAAGGGAAAACTGGTTACTTAAGTCTAGTAATTTACCAGTATTTGTCCCTGATATGGGAATTTTGTTAATGCCTATTCATAAAGTTTATAACACAAAAGTGGTGTGTAATAATAACAGCCTTTACTTGGGGGTGAAACATTATTATTTGCTCTGAGAGCATAAATGACAGGCGGATGAGTAGCACAGAATCTGTCATTGCCAAGTTATTTGTGAATGTATCGTTCAGGTTGCTGTTCTTTGAAACACATAATATTACTAATCTCCTAATTGTGCTTCAGTATTAGAAGTAGTATGTGTGTGCACGTATATGTGACCACAAAGCTCCTTTACAGAATTTAATTCTGAAGCTCCTTCAGAAAATTCTAAGTCTGAAGATAGGAGAAAGGAAAGTGGGCCTGGAGTAACAGATAATTCTTTTTTATATGCTTCTTACTGTGATCATTGAAACCAAACTCAAGTGCTCTCTGGGTGTTGGTAAACATTTTATGCTTGCATTTAAACTTGAAATGCACAAGCAGAATGAGACAATCAGTTGAAACCAGAAATGAGAAGTGTTATAAACTTCATGGCCTTGTTTTGCTATAGCAATAAAATGACCAAGTGCAATGACTTGATTTAATAAAATCATCTTTTAGAAGTTGCTGCTATGAATATTTTTAACCATGAAATTTTACCCTTGTTTTTGCCCAACTTACCTTTGGTAATGATTGCCTACATAACTATTATGTAACGCTGTTTGGTGATGTGATATGCTAACATTCCGTGGAGGGTGGAAAAAATATATATATATAAACTCAGAAACTCAAAACTTACTGACTTGTTTCCAGGTGCTGTAAAGAAAAAAAAAAAAGCGTGCTTCTCCTTTAAAAAGAAAAATTAATAAAAAATACTATTGCCAGTCGTGTAGTCTCTTGATTTTTTTAAATTAACAGCATATGCTTAGTGTTGAGTACAGTGAAAACTTTTTATATTTCAGTTTTGTAAATAAAAGAAACAATATAAATAGTAAAATGAAAGCATTAAAAGTTCTAGATCTGTGTGGTGTTTACTAAACATTTGTGAGTCTGTTTTTTCACCTAGAACTGTGAGATGATGTTTTCTATGTCACAGGAATATTGGGGGAATTTGAGTGATTTATATTAAGTACCTTATAAAGTGCTTGGCATGGAGTTTTTTTTTTTGTTTGTTTGTTTGTTTTTTTAATGGGACACTCTCAAAACTCTTCTCAAAAGCATTTTACAAAGATGGATACAGTTAAGGGAAAGGAGGCCTAGTACTGCCTTTTGGGGGAAATACCCCTTTCATTTGTATTATTTTCACAACAGAGCTGCTTCCATCTCACAGATCCCACCTTTCTGGCAGAGGGGAGAGGGCTGTGCCCAAATTGTGTTATTGTCTTAGAGACTTTGAGATTTAAAACATTTGAAATATAAAGAGTTAGACTCAGGTTGGGAGCTCTCTGCAATTACATTCTTCTGCCACCTGGAGAAAGCTGATTAGAAAGAATCAACTAATAAAGCATACAGAGAAGCAAACAATCCACAAGGATTTTTAAACTGATTACAAATCTTCCTGAGCCCCAGCTACCCATGCATTGCTAGGTTCCTTAAGCATAAACATGCTCATCAACGTGGGTTTCTGAACTTACAACTGGAAATCCTGGTAAATACAACACGGAGAGTCCGGAAGACATTGGGACCCTGTCCTCTTATTGACAATATGCCACGTACATGGCTCCAGGCTTTCTAGAAATGCACTGTGAGACCTGAGTCTCGGAAAAGGAGTAAGACGCCACTGTGAAGCTCTCAGGCCTTGGTGCAACACAGTTCAGCTCAGTTTGGGGGCAAAAGTCAATATCACTGGAATAGCTGGCAGCTGAGGTAGAAGTGGGGGGCAGTGGTGCTGTGCCTGCTCTGGTACCTGCTGAGGTAGTCAAAAAGTGATCCTGAGCGCCTCTGCGTTCCGCCTGCCCTCTCTGTGCCACATCCTGGCGCTGTGCGCCACCCTACTAGCCCCGGCTCTCAGGCGGGCACATGCCAGCCACAGCTGCAGCATGGAGGGGAGCCAGGTGAGTGTGGAGGGTCAAGTGGTGGAGCCAGGGACATCGCTGCGGTGGCAGTGCTATGCCTGCTCCAGCATCCGTTGTCCGACTCCTGCCAATGATCAGGCAGGATGGCAGGAGCTCAGGGCAGAGGGGGCGGGGAGGGACGCAAGTGCAGGTGTGGAAGCACAGGACCGGTGCGGTGCTGTGCCTGCTCTAGTACGTGCTCAGCTGACCGGCTACGTTGCCCCAGTCCCCCACTAGCCACCCCAGCCCCACCCTTGCGCCACGAATTTCCTGACTGAGTGGCTGCCTGCAGCTTCTGCAACTTATTCTTTAGAACCATCTGTCTTCCTCTCAGAAGTTTGATGTCCAAGTCTTCGTAAGCAGCAGTAGCCTGAGCGTTGATGTCATCACCAGTGAAGATGATGCCGGGGGTGATGGTACAACCCAGCTCCAGAATTTCCTGACTACGGGCTGACTGCAGCTTCTGCACCTTGTGCCTTAGCTATCTTTCAGAAGTTTGATCTTCAAGTCTTTCTGTTATAGTCTGTCAGCAATGAGCCGTTTGCTGCTGCATTCGGAGCTCTGACGCTTCATGCTTCTGTTCTGGGTCACCACAGAGAGTTTCAGGTCCCTCATTCTCTGCTCTTAGCATTGCCTGAGTGGCTCCCACCTCCTTCAAGTCAGGTGTCTTGCTCTCTTTCTGATCCTCCATCAGTCCCTCTTCTGTGAAGTTAGAGCTGTGTCTGAAAGAAGCCACTCAGCCGCCCACTTGCCCCAGGGAATGGCCATCCCTGCGGGTCATAGGACTGACCCGGTCGCTCTGCCCAAAGCGTCCAGCGCCATCAGACAATGCGGCCAATTGTCTAGGAATCACGATGCGGGCGGAGCTAAGGATAAGATGCCAATGAGCTGTT